CATACCTACCAGACTGACTATGAGAGAAAAGAAAAATAATATTTGTTGGAAAGGGATATGAGGAAATTGGGACACTAATGTTCGTGGAGTTGTGAACTGATTCAATCATTCTGGAGGACAATTTGGAACTATGTCCAAGGAGCTATAAAACTCTGCAAAACCCTTTGATCCAGCAATACCACTATTAGATCTGTATCCCAAAAAGATAAAAAAAAAGAGGAAAGTGGACTTATTTGTACAAAAATATTTACAGCAGTTCTTTTTCTGGTAGCTAAGAACTGGAAATTGAAGGGATGCCCATCAGTTGGGGAATGGCTGACAAGTTGTGATATATGACTGTGCTATAAGAAATGTTGAGCAGGATGATCTTAGAAAAACCTGGAAAGATTTACACAAACTAATGCAAAGTGAAGTGAGCAAAACCAGGAGAACACTGCACACAGTAATAGCAATACTGTATGATGATCAACTGTTAATGACTTAGCTATTCTTAGCAATACAATGATCCAAAACAATTCCAAAGGACTCATGAATGCTATCCACCTCCAGAGAAAGAACTGGTGGAATCTGAATGCAGATAGAAACATCTATTTTTTTGCTTCCTTTGTTTTTCATGGGTTTGGTTTTTTTGGAGTCTGTGCTTTTTCTCACAACATGACTAATATAGAAATATGTTTTGCATGACTGCACATGTATAACCTATTTCAAATTGCTTGCCCTCTCAATGAGGGGGGAATAGGAGGGAAGGAAAGAATTTGGAACTTAAAATTTTTTAAAAAATGAATGTTAAAATTGTTTGTACATTTAATTGGGGAAAAATGAAATAGTACTAAAAATAAAAAAGGTTACAAAGAGGATTTACATACCTACTTCCAAGTCTACAAAATATTTATCAGAATTTTTCTAGAAATACATTAAGGGCATTTTTGATGACTATATAAGAAGAGAACAGGCAGACTTTTCACAAATAATATTTTACAGAAGACTCCATCTTTACAGAGACACAACTGACTGAAAAGTACAAAGAATATAAATGTGCTTCTTATTTGTTGATTAAGTATTTGAGTTGGCAAAGCAAAAGCAGCCTTAAGGCTCTCCTTCAACAAGGTGTCTCCTAGTCATATTTTAATAGCATACTAGGTTCCTTGATAGATGCAACAACAGAGAAAACTCTGTCTTATGACCCTCTGATTATTAACACTAAAAGAGGTAGAAAATAAAAAGACATTATCACCAAAGATGATTTTCATTATTATGATAGATATCTAGTACAGAGTCCAAATAGAAGAATTCCATAGAGATAGAGGGTGCTATTTATAGATAATGTATTGATTTCATCAAGCCTAGGAACTTCCTAAGTGAGATTCACAGTGGCTCAAGAGAATTAATGTTAACAATCCAAACAGGAAAAACAAAGTGGATAAAGAAGGCCTATTGTTCAGATTATGATTGGCAGCTGAATAAACAATTAATAGAAATTGAACCACCAAAGAATTGAACAGGAAGAAGATAATGGATTGCATTGCCTTTGGGAAACTACAGTGCTAAAAACATCATGTATCTCATTGAAGCAAAATTTATATCTAGTGAAAATGTGTGTGACAAATTAATATTTTCAAAGTTACTAAACTGTTCATATTTTTGACCCAGAGATTCCAACATAAAGATTATACTCCAGGGAGGTTATTAATACAAAGAAAAGATTCATATGTTCAAAAATATTTATAGCAGCATTATTTGTGATAATAAAAATCTAGAAACAAAATATATGCCCTGAGTATGGGGAATGACCAAACAAACCATAGTAAAGCAATACAATGGGATATTATTGTGTTGTAAGGCTTGGACAACACAAATAATTCAGAGAAACTTGGGAAGACTTGTATGAAGTGGTACAGGGTAAGGAAAACAGCCAAAACATTATAGCCAATGATAACAACAATGTAAATAAAGTCAATACTGGCCCATTCAAAGCACATCTATAGAACTGTTTTCCATTCTGGGCACCACATTTTCGTAAAGACAATAAATAGCAGTGCAACTACAGAAGAAGAAACAGGATGCTAAAGGGATAGGAATTCCTGCCATTTGAGGCCTGGGGAAGAGAAGGCTTAGAGGTGTATGATAACTGTCTTCAAGTGTCTAAAAGATTGTCCTGTGTAAGCCTTTTTCTTTTTGGCCTCAGAGGGCAGAATTATGAGCAACTGGTGGAAGATGTAGAGAATTAGGGTCGGTATTTCTGTTAAAGGCACCACTATCCACCTACTCACCCAGGTTTTTAGAGTCATCTTGTACTCTTCAATCTTCTCAAACCCTCTCCTCTCAGCTCTTATTTCCCCCCCCCCCTTTTCTAGCTGTTATTAAGTCTTGCTGTTTTTACATCCACATTATCTTTGGGATACACTTCCATCTCTCCACTCACATGACTAATACCTTAATTCAGGACCTTATTACCTCTGACATGGATTACTACAACAGCTTAACTCTCATTTTACATAGCAGGACTATTTCTAATCTCTTCCCTCTCCCCTCCACAGCCATAAAGATGCCAAAATAATATTCCTAATGTACAGATATACCACCCCCATATGAGTCCCTGGATCAATCTACAGTATCTCCTTATTTCTAGGATAAAACATAAATGCCTCAGTTTGGCATTTAAAATCCTTCAGTCTTCTTCCAACTTACCTTTCAAAATTTATTTCACATTGTTCCAGCCCACATGACCTATTTGCTGTTTCCTGAACTCATTTCATCCTCTTGTCTATCTTTGCAAAGCTATCCTCCAAGTCTGCAATGTATGAGAAATGACTGAACAAATGTGTTACCTCTTCACAGACACCTGAGAATCTTTAACTTCCTTGGAGGATTAACTTGAGACTTTCTGGATTCCATTGGTACTGAATTAGGGTATCTTTGTGTCCTCATTTAAATTTGCTTAGTTTTTATGTATGCTGCATCTCCCATTAAGAGTAGATGATGGGGGCAGCTAGGTGGCAAAGTGGACAGAGCATGGACTCTGGAGTCAGGAGGACCTGAGTTCAAATATTAGCTGTGTGACCCTGGGCAAATCAGTTACTCCCACTAGCCTCCAAAAAGAAAAAAGATCATTGAGAAAACTATTTTTTGTATGCTCACCACTTACTACAGTGCCTTACAAGGTGCTTACGTTATTAAGTAATTAATTATTGTTAATATTAATTATCAATCAATCAATTATTGAATATTCATTTATATCTATTGATATTACATTAATATACATAATTTAGTTAAATAATTTAATAATTTATTAAATATATGTTATTTATTACATATACATGTAGGTGATTAGTTAGTAGGGATTTAATGACTGTTGAATTGATATAAGGGAAAACTTCAGAATAATTACAACTGTCAGAAAGTGGAATGGGCTCTGTCTTCTACTCCCTATAAATCTACCCACAGAGGCTGAATAAGCATGTCAGTGATATTGTAAAAGGAATTGTCCTTAAGGCTTAGGTTGCACTAGAATACCCACTTGAGGTCCTTTCTGATTCTTTGCAAAAAGCACTAGGTAGAGACAAAAAGACTTATTTTCTAGTTGTGACCATGGACACAACCTCTCAGCTTCAACTTTCTTAAGTGTAAAACAAAGGGGTTGAACTAGATCACTTAAGTTTCCTTCAAGCTCCAAAATTTTGTGATTGCATGACACTATTGGTTCTATTGAGACTTCTAGTAGTGATCATGGGTTGTTCCAAATGCTGTCCATATTATTCCTACTGTCACCATTACCAGTTTCCCACATACCTTATGCTTGTAAGGAGGCAAGTTTTTGCAAGAAAATTTCAGACCAAAAAGATTGTTTCATTCTTTTTACTTGTATCTCCAGAATCTAGCACAGTAGCTAGCACACAGTAAGAGATTAAGATTGACTACAGTGTAAGACTGAAACATATTTTAGTCCTTTGTGCAAAACTGGCCTGAAAAATCAAACCATAACCTCAAGCCATAAAGAGCTACATTGTAGCCAAATGTATATTAACCACATGGAAGACAACAGTTACTAAGCATAAGTATGCTTGCGGATGTAGGTTTTTGATAGCTGCCTTAACGTAACATAAGTGATCTTTGACGTGTTGATGCCTGGAAACAAATATTTTGCTGTAATATGTGCCCTCCAAGTCAAGTGAGGTTAGTTTTAGCCTTCATTCTTATTTTTCCTTTCTTGTTCCTGAGTCCCAGAAGAGCTGTAGGAAGTACTAGCAATGAGTTCTTCCTGTGGAAAACCCTGAACTGACTTGGAATACACTTCCCATAAAAAGTCATGGGGCGGGGGAGTAGGAGGAGTATACTGGTGTCAACGTATGCATTGTAGCTTCAGTGAATAATATAGGTTTTTCTTTAACAGAATGGAGGCCAATAAACTAAATACAAATTATATGCGTATGTATCAATGTATGTATGTATGTGTATGCTTGTGTGCACACACATATTTTTTCCTCCCAAAGCCCACATACTCTAAAACCCTTCCTTTAACCTTTTAGCTTTGCCCGTTCCACTTTCCAGAACTCCAATCCTCACCCATGGTCATCTCTAAGGGACCTCGCCTGAAAGCTGCGGGGTGCTGCAGCTCCTGACCTCCTCGCGTAGGTGTACCAACACCAGCCGCGGGACCTACGCTCACGCAACTGCGCTCACCCCGCTGGCCCCGACTAAGCGGAGGAGGGCAGGGCCCGGCCTGTTGCAGCAGGCAGCGCCTCTTGCTCGGGACAGGGCAGCCCCGTGATATTCCCCTTCTGCACTGGGCTGCAAAGAGGAGAGAAGAGACACACAGCTCCTTTGCCCAAGGAGAAAAAGGGTCAGGTCGGGGGTTTCCAGGTCGAGCAGCTGTACTGCGGTACAGTTTCGGGGAAAAGGGATCAGGGGTTCGGAGTCAAGTGGAGAAGGGGGGAGGAGGGGGGCAAGCACTTTCTCTCAACTACGGGCGCGGGGATCTGCAGCTCTTACTGCTCAGTCACCTTGGCGGTCACGGACGGTCCTCTTTTCCTGACGCCCCCAGTCCTTGAAGAATGCACGAGGGCGCAGAGCCCCAGACCCAGGGCGAGGAGCAACAGCAGTGTGCCAGCAGAGCGCATTTTGCTAGAGGGAGTTGAGAGCAGCAGCAAGTAACAAATGGAGCTTGGCCCAATAGGAATTTGCGCCTGCGCATTAGGCAAGCCCCCCCTCTGAGCTGGCAGTACCCAAACTGCGGGGCTGGGGTTGGGTTGGGGAGGGGGAGGAAGGCAAAGTCAGATCCTATTTTCAAGTTCTGTCCGGGGTTGGAAGGATGACCTTTAACTCGAGGAAGGATTGCTCACTTTTCCAGCGGTTGTGCTTTGAAGTCCTGGTTGGCAAAGTGGTCACATCCCTTTGTTGCTGAGATAATACTCTGCGAAAGTATTTATTTAGAGCCGACTGGATATAGAGCCCTGTACCAGGCCAGAATACAAACAAACAAATAAATAAATAATAATGGAGGCAGCTCGTTCGGAGTTTGCTGTCTACAGGAGGAGACGGTACAAGCACACACACGTTACCAGATTCTATTATACACAATTATGTACAATTAGTAAAACTGAGAATTTAAAGGAAATGATGACTACTTACTAAAAATTAAAATGAACAAAACAAGGAAGGAGACCCAAAACTAGTCAATTCCAGAAAGTGGAATTGGACATACCTTACATTAATAAACAAAACAAAACAAACAAACAAAAAAGTTGCTCCAAAAGGATTTTGAAGTGTATTCTACCAAACATTTAAGGGCAATTAATACCTGTGCTACTTAAATTATTTTCAGTAATTGAGAAACAAAGCACTTTACCAAACTCCTTTAACGATACAAATATGATTTTAATATGTAAACTAGAAGGGATACAGCCAAGAAAGAGAACAGTAGACCAATACCGACAGTGAACATTGATGCAAAAAAATTTAAAAACTAAAAATAGGTCCCAAAATTATTCACTATGACCAAATTGAATTATATCATAGATGCAAAATGGATCAGTATTAAGAAAACAATGAGTAAAACTCATCATATTAAGAATACAATAAAAATCACGATATTAGCAGATGCAGAAAAAACCACAGGACCCCCCCATACAATAAAATCATATATCTAAAACCAAAAACTAGCCTTATTTTAAATGGAGAAGTATGGAAAGTATCTATCACTTCTCCGTTTAAAAATAACAAATACAAAAACAGTTTGCTCTTGTTCTCCTTCCCCACCTTCCAAAATGCTGTTAAGAAACCATAGTATTTAAGGACTTCTTGTTGTTTGACATTTAATTTCTAATCATGTAATGTTAGGATTTACCATCACAGAGGACAGGTCCATTAGAAATTGTATGTGGTGGTGCCACTATCTGCTTTAAACCATTTTAAACATGAGCAAAAATATAAACAAGTTTTACTTTCCTAATGGGGTATCAATTAGGGTATCTGAACTAATATGAAATATTACTTTGTAGTATCACAAACTTTGTAAATAAATACCTATTTTTTTAATGGAAAATTTTATAGAAGAGGCTATTTCTGTACATGCAACTAACCCCATGTTTTCTGAAAGTGCTGCAAGGGGAGAACAAACTGACGTCCTATAGGACTGTGCCTTGCACAGAGTTGACCCTTTATAAATGTCTGTTGACTAGTGCAAAAATGGAATATGGTTTCTACAGTGATTGAAAGTTGTGCTTACCATGGAGAAAGGACTACATCAGATTGTTCTGTGACCTGAAGAAAAAACATGTACTGTAGGAAAATAAATGATTTTAAGCAAAGAAAAAATAACAAATACAGTCTCCTTTTACTATTATTTGATGTAGTTTTGTGTTCATGATAGCAATGAGGCATGAGAAGGAAATTAAAGTCATAAATATCTGCAATGGAGAGACAAATGTATCCCTATTTGCAGACATGAGGGTTCACTTAGAAAACCCCAAATAATCAGCAAAGAGCTGATTAATAGCTTCTTTGAAATAGCAGAATACAAAATAAATCTACAAAAATCATTAGCTTTTCTATGTAGCAACAATACAAACCAAAAAGAAATGATAGGAAGAGAAATTCCACTCAGAATAACTGCAAAATGCACAAATTATCAGAGAGTCATCCTACTAAGAAACACTTAAGATATACATAAAAATAATTACAAAATTTGCTTTACAGAGAGTAAAAATATTTATAGTCTCTGGTTTGACCATGTCAATATAATAAAAATGACACCACCTAAACTAATGTGCCACATTTGTGCTCAATCAAACCACTATTTTGGAAGTAGCCACCAGTCTTTTGCCACAGCAGAACCAAAGCATATAAATATTATTGATTACATGTGGCTACATGGGAAAGACTCACTGAAAGTCTAAAAGTTGGGTTCTATATGGCAAGAATCTCTGCAATAAACTACACAAAGCAACTTTTTAATAGCCAGAGGGAAAACCGAATCAAAAGCATGGGGGAAGAAAGGAACATGCAGGAAGACTGGTAAGAAAGAGCATTGACATTGAGTAGATTGATACATCTCAGTCTTTCATATAAATGATTGATATTCAAACAGACTCAGCTTAATGGAGTTAATAGGACTCTTTAAGAAAGATAAAATGCTAACACATAATGGGTTATCAAAAATTACGTAGTCAAACAAGTAGAAGACTTTTTACTGTTCTACCTTAAGGACAATGAATCTTTCCTGAGTCTTCTAAGGGAGACAGGGGCTAAGTCACTCATAGCCCTTGGAATTAATGCTATGCTTTTAAAAGCACAAAAACAAAGTGACAATGCTAGTTCTTTGATCTCATGCTTAAAATATTATTTCATGATAGAGACAATGTGACATGACAGGAGTTACTCTGTTTCTGAGGCCATGAGGTCTGGTCCTACCCCTTGCCTTTTTTTTTTTTTTTGGCATCTACTTATCCTTTCTGAGGCTAAGATGCCCAACTCTTGATTTTAGTCTACTACACCAAAACTCTGGATGCTGGTCTCCTCTAATGGGACATGTACTGTCTTTGCTGGAATGTGATTCAGTCTGCTGGCAAATATTTAACTGACTAGGCAGTGGAGGGATTGGGTGGAAGGGGAGAGGGAAGTACACACTACACACTTTAAACTTTAATCTGCATCATTTTCTCCATCATGTTTTTAAATCTAGAAATCAATGAAACAATAACTCAAGGCCTGATTTACAAATCTGCATTTGCAGATTTCCAAGGTGTAAATGCTCACACTGAAAACTTAACAATCTGCATGAAGCTGGCTCCCGCACACCCCTCGCCTCAGTCCTGGGAAGCACAACACTTGCTCAGTCATTTCCTAAGATTCCCATTTCCCATAAAGCAACCCAATGTGAGAGTTTTATATCTTATTTGCAGTGTTCACTCACTCTCAGAGTCATCTTCCATTCTTGCATGTACCTCCAACCTTCACTGCTCTGCTCACTTCTTATGTTTTAGCTAAGTACACGTTTTCATTACTAATTAGCCTGAGCTTTGCAAAACATTATTTTGAGGATACATATTAATCTTTTTTTCCTTTTTGAAAAATCATATTCCTTTGATTTCTTTGATTTCTTATTGAGTTAGAGCAATCCTAGGCAACTGAAATTGATTTTCCTTCATAAACAAATGCCTTTGTCTTGGCTAATTGTTAAATTTGATATTTGTTTTTAAAATTCTTGGAGCACCTGCCTTTATGGGATCAACATGCATATTCCTTATACATGGGTGTGACCCAGTTCTGTATTGCTCCCTCTACTTTTCTCTACACTTTCTTTCTTGGTGATCTCATCAACTTAAATGATCTCTTTTTTTGTTTGTTTGTTTTGAGGCAATTGTGGTTAGGTGACTTGTCCAGGGTCACACAGCTAGTAAGTATCTGAGGCCAAATTTGAACTCAGGTCTTCCTGATTCCAAGGCTGGTGCTCTATCCACTGTGCCACCTAGCTACACTTCAACCAATCTCTTTATTGTTAAATTCAAGGGATTTTTCTCATACTTTATTTTTCTTACCCTCCTTCAATACTTGATGCTTTTGACCACTTCTATCCTTCAAGATAAGTTTTCCGTATTAAGTTTTCATGATGTTGCTTTGTTCTGGTTATCCTTTTTATCCTTTTACCAGCCAGACTCTTCCTTTTAGATTTCTTTTGCAAGTTCATCATTCATGATTTAGGCCATACTGGTGGTTCAGTCTCAAGACTGGAATGAAATGATACACTTGGAGGCCATACGACATTTAACAAAGAAGCTTACTTAGTATCATTAAAAGGTTATTCAGGAACAAAACTGGTTCACATATCCCCTCATTTCTAAGATACACCTGGTCAGGAAGGTGTACTGACCCCTGTGGCAATTAGGTCAAGTTTGAGAAATCCATCAAGTTTGAGAAATACACAAACCAGTGTACTGGACTTTTATACCCAGGCATAAAGGGAACTATGTCAATGTTACAAGCCTTAGTCTGCTGAAAAAATTCAATCTGAGGATGGTTTCACTGCCTTATAGGGGGAAACTAGACTAGCCTATGGAGAGGAAACTCCTCCTACAAATTCCCAGGCTAGGTCTTGGATCTTCTTCCTTTTACCACTTAAATAGCCTATGGGCCATTAACGGACAACCTTTACTGTGAAGATTTGAGAAACATAGGTAGCAATGGAGGAGGAAAAAAAAATAGAAAGACAACAAACAGTGAAATATTTCCCAAACACAGTGCAATAATGAAATGAGTGAATTCAGAGGATGATGAAAGCCAGAAATGTCAGGCTTCATTTCCCTGCTTTGGAAGGATTGAGTCCTAGATCTTAATAATCTGGTCCATGTGGCAGGTGATGTCAGGGGTAGTTCACAATGGAGATCTCCATGTGAAGCAATGACGATGAACAGGAGAACCACTAGGACTAGAAGGGCCACAGTATAGGTCAGAGGTTCCTAAACTTATTTGGCCTATTTTAAAAAATTTTTTAAAAAATTACTCAGTGCCCGCTGGAAATCTACTTTCTTTAACCTTTTGATGTTTTTTAAAAATTTGCATCATTTCAAAAATACATAATTTTTTAAAAATGACATCTTAAATTTAACAATTTATTATAAATTTGTGGGGTTTTTTCCTGCATTGCAATTTTGATGATGCAATATTGCATCATATAACTGTATAGTATTGT